CGAAACCATGTGCGTTATGTAACGTTTTCAAATTTGTCTTTCGAAAAGTTATGACCTTCGGGAGTCAGGTAGAATAAAATATACACGTAGAATAAAATGTACATACCTACACCTTTACCCAAGAGTAGGTATTATTATTAATAGTACATAATTTAAATTCAAGACAATTTTCTTATAAGCTCCATAATATGTTATATTTGACGACACGTTTGGCTCAGTTTGTGACCCTACTTGCTGTGCCAGCGGTCGCGGGTTCGAGTCCCGCTGGGAGCATTCATTTGTGTGATGAATATGAATGTTTGTACTCCAGCCATGGATGTTTATATTTATAATATGTATGTATTTAAAAGGTTATATATGTGTATTGTAACAACTATCTTGTATCCATAACACAGACCTCGTAGCTTACAATGGAACTAGATGGTACTGTGTGTTAATGTACCAACATATTTATTTATATTTATATGTTAAACAAAACCGTCAATAATTTAACCTTGTTAACTGTATATCATGCCTATATGCCTTCCACAGATTACGGAGATTACGTTAAGACACGTTGGCGTAATTACTAATTCGGTAGATAAAGGTGTAGATTAAAAATTATAATAAATATAATGACGTTGCCAAATATGAACATATAAATTAGACTGTTATTTTTATTAAAAACTAGCGACATATCTTCCCTTCACTCGGGTGTGTGGCGAATTTTGTTCGCAATTTCATGTGTCTTAATTTTCTTGCGCGGAAGCATCCTTTTTCTTAAATAATAGTAGCCTAAGTTACTAATATAACATCAGCTATTTGCCAGTGAAAATCCCGTCAAAATCGGTTCAGTCGTTTCAGAATTTAGCCGGAACAACTAGACAGACAGACAAAAATGTTTAAAATTGTTATTATAAGTACCATGTATACTTTTATATATATTTGGTAAACGGCTGTTATTTTGACATTGCAAACGGACCCTTCGATTTCATATATCTGTATAAATAATTTGTCTTTATTTGAAAATTGTTATAGTGTAAGGACGTGGTATTACGCTTCGCCACCCACGATGTAAAACTACCGTTTTCTCGAAGAGTATTTTCTTTACTGGGCCACTTTTAAACAATCATTTGTCTAAAGATATCTTATAAATTAATGAAATTCATTTATTTCTGTGGAGATTAAAGAAATTTTCATTAGATAAAACATATTATTCTATTATTATATTTGAGATAGTGTGACATTTGTAACCTTATGTATATTTTAATTGATTATTGGATAGGGATATGCATGATTTTTTTAAATTTTTTATGCAATAGCTTATATAGTATATAAATTTAAGAAAAAAAATACCCAGCCCCATAGAACTAAAATTTAGTAATATCATACTGTTAGGGGACTTTAAAGTTTAAACGCTCGTCATTTCGCGCGCTCGGCGTGACATCACAGTATGATATAGGTACACAGAGAAATGACGACTCAATTTGTAAGCGACAAAATCATTACTGTTATCATATACTTTAACGTTATATTCAGTCTGACCGATGGCGTTGTGTTTCAACTATTTTGAATTTCCCACCTGTTTTTGCACTTTTAATAATTATTTTCTTAATCAAAAAGAAATTACATTAAAAAATATGAATACAGGCTTAATTCAAAAGCAATAAAGATTATAAAAAAAATATATTCCACCATTATTTAAATCACACGCATATTCCCTTTGGCTTTGAGTTTTGACTGAACATTAAAAACATTACATTATTTTATCTCTGTTTTTTTCTCCTTTATCTTTTTTTACTTTTGTTTGTCTTTTTTTTTTGTATTTTTTATGTACTCGTAACTTTAAATGCACAGACTCGTACTGTAATATTCACCTTCTGGTTAAGTTTGTTTATATAATTATTATATGTTTTTATTTGAATGTTGCGTACAGATATAATTGGACAAAAAATTTAAAATGATATTTTTAGTTTTTAATACGTAGATGTAATTTTTTTATTTTGTTTTCTGTTTCTGTACCTAAATAAATAAAATAATTATGAAAATCTAAATGTGTACTAATCCAAGTTCGCAACAAAGTGTTTGATTTGAACATTTTAAATTGACTAAGAAACCTTGAAAGATTTATTTATAACTTCAATAATTGAGTACATACATATTACACACGCGTCACTTCTAAAATCGCAGCTTTTTAATGGTAAAAAGTCGCTACGTTAATATTTTTCATCTTATTTTTAAGGGATAATGTGAAAAAATACCAAAACCATATTATTCATATATTTATTAAATATAAACATATCGTGTTTATAAAAATATTCCAAAATATTAAACTTAATTTACAAGAAAGGCACTTAAACATAACGAACATATGGCGTTATCATATGACCCAAGTTCAGATCAACAAAATGGCGTCTTAAATCAAATGGCAATTATTTGTACAAGCAACGCGTTTGGCACTTGCGAGATTTAACCGTGTTATGTCCAAATGACAAACGTAAATGAAAACTTTCTTTCATACTATATTTTGTACTACTAGATTCGTGCATACAAAACAATAGATATTTTGTATTTTAACATGTTGATTATGTTTATCTTAAACTAAATTAAAGGCACATTAATATTTCTCATTGAAAATAACAGTTTTCATTCATATTAAATCATTTGTACAGTGAACTTATTGTCTAAAATAAAAAAGAAATATAAACTTATCCTTACAATATTAAGGACGGAAATAAGAAAATAAACAAAATGAATTACAAAAATTTAAAGCAATATAAATAAGAATATAACATGTTTATACATTATAAAAATTTGTAAAAATCACATTTTTCATAGTGTCAGCTGATTGTAAAAAACTCTAAGTAAATAATATTCCTACCATTTAGGAAAAGCTTAAAATTTTTGTCAAAAATTAAATTTACTATTCACTGCTCTCATATATATATATATATATATATATATATATATATATCCATTATACCATTACTTTAAATTATTAAATATTATTGAAAAATAAATAAAATTAATTATAATTTACTTTTTAAATGGTTGTTAAATAAAACTAGTTTCGAAAGTCAAATTGAATGACAAAAATAATTTCTATAGACATAAAAAAACGATATACATAATATTTATATTCCTAATGGCAACATTAAAATAATGTCATGAAAAATTCTTAATAGCAGTCTTGGTCCAATTTCATAGATACAATAAACTAGAAGGCACATACATTGACTAAATGTAACCTTATATTACTGAGTAAACACCTTATAAAATCTAATATTACAACACTAACATAGACTGGTTCGTTTAAACACTGGATAGATTCTAGCATTGTCATACTTAAAATTAAAATGTTCTAAAATATTTTTTATTAAAAGTATAGGTATCAAATTAATTATATGTGATGTAAATAGCTATATATCAGCTCAGCCAACTCTTACAATGAAAAAATATATGAAGCATTGCTACTTTTAATACAACCCTGTCTTTTGCTGTATTTCTCTTAATTTATAAGAGCAAGAGACACGTAAGTGACTTAACGCCCTCCAAATAAATTGTGTAACTATCGATACACAAAAACTTACATGTCTCAACACTCAACTGATTCATAACGTCATGAAATCATAATATATTTAGTTACAATAATTTATTAATTAACATCTACTATTATAAAGTATTAGCGGCTCTAGGTACGTTTGAACGGTTAGTGTGGAATAGACGGACTACAGTCATGTACATTGTACATGAATATGATGAGTTGTTGTGGGTTGTATTATAAGGTATTTTCCCGTGGGAATGAGATAATCTCCGCGGTAAAAAGTAGCCTATGTCACTCTCCAACCCTCCAACTATCTCCACACTTTCACATTTATAATTTTTTACTTATAATAACAGCATTAAGGCACGTAAAGCTGTATGTATATCGATTAATTATAGAAAAGCAATCACTAGGTCAATAATTACAATTAAAAACCATATAATACACTAGCAGATATTTTCATATTATTATTTTTTAAATCTATACCGAAAAGTCCATAATTCAAAAAAGATACTAAAACCAAATTCTTTACTATCTCTAAAGTATTTTAATAGATTGTTTATTGTTGTATCATACTCATTTTGTATTTGGTGCAAAAGACATGCTGAGCTGAAAGTATAGCACAGATGCTATTAATAGCTTAAGCTGGTCAATTTGTATGTCAACCATATGAAATAAAATACTGTTATACATACATAATCGGGATTCAAAAAAAAAAGGTTCGGACGAATAAGAACCTCCTCTTTGAAGAAGTCGGTTGAAAAGAGATTTATCTGCGATAAATTTTGCTAAGAATATTTTGTACGACACACGTTTGCTTATCTAAGAGTTCGGGCAGAAAAAAGCATTTCAATTTTCCAAAGCTCCCTTATTAGTCCGGGAGCTAGGTAAATATTTGGTCGATTATTTCCTCTCAAGCGATAATTAGTGGAATGCATCACAGAGTTGTATCATAAAGCTTCGTGAACGTGAGCTGCGGCTCCGTGCGGTGGGATGAGCGGCGGTAGCCTCCCACGCACGAAAAAAATAAAATAAATTATGTATATAATACAACTCTCTGATGCATTCCACTCACTTTCAGTGATTTGATTATATACATATTAGTTTTGAAGTATTTATACGGAATATTAATTTCGTTGAAGGGTAATGCCGAATAATTTAAAAGGCGTCATTTCGAAAATTTGTTTGCAGCTGATATTCACGAAGCTTTATGATACAAATCTCTTAGGCGTTTCACTAATTATTGCTCAAGAGGAAATAATCGATCACATTTGTACCTGGCTCCCGGACCATATACTTATTTTCACATGAAAATCCACTGCATTTTTCTCAAAAAAATAAAATAAAAAAATAATAACTAACCAATAATATCTATACTAATTTTTACAATTCTAATTCCAATAACTTAAAACCGTATTATCATTTATAACAATGTAGTTAATATATAATATACCTGTTTTATATTAGAACATATTTAGACGGATTGCGCGTCGACTTCTTCGCCATAGTCAAGATCGTCGTAGGACAAGTCATCTTCTATGGCGGTGCCCTCCGGAGTCTCTTTACCGCCGGGACAAGCGAGGCATCTTAAATGAAAATTACAAAAAAATATATATATGAAAAAATAAGTTTCTATAATTAAATAATAAATAATATAAATAAATATGTTGGGACATTAACACACAGCACCATCTAGTTCCGTAGTAAGCTACGAGACTTTAGTTTTGGATACCCGATAGTTTATATACTACATATAATATATAACTTTAAATACATACGAGTACATATAATAAATATAAACACCAATGACTAGAGTTCAAACATTCGTGCTCATCACACAAATGAATGCCCTCAGCGGGACTCGAACCCACGACCACTGACACAGCAAGTACCACTACGAACTGAGCCAAACTAAGTAATCTGGTGAATGCGTTACGAAAAAATGTATGTACGTTTGTTGCCATGGTAACCATTGTTATTGTCTGACAAATGATATAAGTATAATATTATATTCTTTCCTTAAATGTTATTCTATAAATATATGATTGTAATATGCCTAATATGCGTTATTTTTAATATCTCACCTATGCTAATTATTAAAACCATAAATTGAATTGCATAAAGAGTACCGATAACCTACAGAAGTTTTACTTCTTGCGCGTGTACATATTCATACACACACACACTCTTTAATTTTAATTTTTATTTTTGGAGGGATTTTTGTTTTGGATTTTGAATTAGTTTTTTTTATTGTGTTCATGAATCAAATGAAATTACCACTTAAAGGATGTTTGTTCGTCATTTAACATCAGCAGCATTGAAAAATAAACCATACACTAATCAATCGGGTAAATCTAATGACTAAGCTAAGAGCTTACGTTCGACGTTTTTGCACTCCAATAACAAATCTATCTATATATCTGTCTATCTAATCTAAAGTATTTTTTTTATTTACATATATATTATTTTATTTTTATTATTGAATTTTCGAAAACACTAGCGACTCCCCTTCGCTCCTCTCGTGTTCGTTCCTATTTACCTTTTGACGTGTAGTATAGATATCTCAGAGATTACATATTTTCCCGCAGTAAAAATATCCTGTATGTTGACCCGGATAACCAGCTATCATCATATCGAATTTCATAAAAATCTGTCCGGTGGTTTTCTCATGATGCGGTCACAGACAGACAAAAATTCTAAAAACTATAGATTCGGCGTCTGTATCGATAATAAATATTACTTCAATAAGATTTTCCGAAAAATATTTAATGTACAGGTTCGACTTAGAACTTAATTATATGAATAGATTTAAGTATAATTAAATACCAAAACTTCTATTTCAAAATTTAATAAATGAACAGGTAATACAATCTGACATAATTAAAATCAACAATTTAATTATTTAATATATCGGCAACACCTGTAGTGCTGACACTCGATACTTTTGCGCATAATAAATATATTATGGTAATTATGTGATGGCCTTGCGCAGGCGCAGGTGCGTCTAATGTTGGAAAACATACGATCTAACAGATTCAAACATGTTAAGTGATTAAATAAGCATTTTGTATCATAATGTTTGATCTTTTAGGAAAAAAATAAGTACTTGAAATTAAAAAAAGAACTCCCCTATTTAATGCATATAGGTATATGCATTATGTATTATATACACATATGTCAATTGTTTGAGATTTCTATTTTTAATTAAATATGATCGAAAGAGTTAAATTATTTAAAAATAATAACCTGTGAATAATGAACAATTTGAAAACGCCTAGAAAATTAAAATTTAGACGAAGTTTTTTTTTATTTGGTGGTATGAGAAACAAAATTTTAAAAACTCAAAACTCTAAAAACGTCAAAAAATGGTAATAAGAAAAATATATAAATGTTGTAAGGGCGTAAAATTTGCAAAATCGTCTACTTTAATATTTATCGTAAGATTTTAGAAACAAAAACCAATATTTGGGCAAATTCAAAGTAAGTCTGTTTAAGATTTGTTTAAACGTAGCTACGAGTATTTAAAGATATGTTTACAAAACGCGCGTGTAAAATATTTACCTGCTCTCATTAATCCCATAGTATAAGCATTTATCCCCGACGCATTCGCAGCAACCGTCATGGAACCATCTGCAAATAAAGTTAGAAAATTGTAAACATCAGTATGAAATTGAGAAAAATTTTATAATTTTTTTATAGCATCTATGCTTATAAAAATTGAAATTGAAGTCTTTACATTACTGTGTTGTTAAGAGTTACTGTGATTTAAAGAGTAAGTTTTGATCATTAAAAAAAATTGGCTGTCTATTTGGGACCTTTAATTACTGGAACGACTGGGCCAATTTAAATGAGATTTTTGATAGCGGATATAGGAAATCGCCTCTTCGCTAGTAAGTATATGGCGGGAGACTATCCGTTATTTTTTTATCCCAGAAAGAAAGTAATAAATCCACTTGGAATAGACAATGGAAAAGAATTTGTTAACCGACTTTATCAGGCCTTTAATTCGCAAGACGAAGATTCGAACGGGAATGACATCCTATTTATTCTATAAAAGAAAAATGAGTGTTGGAAATCGCAAAATAGGGATAAAACTTTTATGAAATTTCTATTCTCAAAAAGAGGTCCTTATGATTTATTGAAATAGTATCGATAGTTTCTAAATATTTAAGTTCGCACAACGCATTTACGAGTTACGAATCGTTTAGTGAAGAATGCGGGTAGCTATGTACTAGCGAATGCATGCAGTAACGTAAAATAAATTTAGGTATATTCAATTATAGAAAAAATAAAAATAAATCGTATTTATGAAACCCTCATAGAATATGCCAATGGAGTCGGGGTCACTGCATATCTCTGTTTTCTTAGTATAAGCTATTCTTATCTTTATGCAGCTGTTCTATGTTACAATGGTTAGTATTCGATCGATAAATTATGAACTCTTTTAATAAAAAATATAAATATTTCCAAATACATATATAAATTATTATATATTAAATATTTTCGCGGATTCATTATGATTTTTATGAAAATATAGTTTTATTAAAAATGTCAAATATTCGTGTAAGACTTAGAAAGTATTATTATTTATTATATATTTGTGTTATAAATTAAATAAGATATCCAAAAAAAATTTTTCTTCGTAAATTAGCTTCGCAATTCTTCTTATGAAACTTCTAAACGGTTTGACCGATTTTGATGATTTTTTTTTGTGTTCTTATGGGACTTCCTGGATAGTCCTGAGCTATAATTAGACCAGACAGGTGTAGGTGTTAACGACGCGATCTGGATATTTTTTAATTTTTCGACCAAACGAGATCTGTCTAAGACAACGTCTTCCTAGCGGGTCCGCTAATTATAATTATAATTACATTATTTAAAAAGAAACTATGAAGTCAAAATAAACATGTGTACAATATAGATTATTAAGTTTATAAATTAGTATTATTTGAGATATAAACCTTACCTAAAGCTATTGGAGCCCATGGATCGACAAGACGCTCGGCATTTATCACAAGACATGCATTGCGACATGTAGGCGACGGTGCAGTTGAAAGTAACAACATCGCGGCTCACCGGCTCAGATTCTTGTTCCACGCTCTCTGTAACAATATTAAAATTTTATAATTAACTAGCATTGCCTGCGGCTTCGCCCGCGTTCAGATGACCAAAAACCAAATTTTTAGATTTACTTAGTATACTCTTACATTGCAGTTTTTGTATTTTTTCTCAGAAATAAGTCATTTTTCCGCGGTAAAAAGTATCGTATATGTTGACCCGGATAACCAGCTATCACCATACCAAATTTCATCAAAATCCCTCCAGTAGTTTTTATGTGATGCGGTAACAGACAAACAAACAGACAGAGAGACACAGACAAAAATTCTAAAAACTATAGATTCGGCCTCTGTATCGATAATAATGTCTATTTCAATAAGATTTTCCAAAAAATGTTTAATGTACAGATTCGGCTTAGTTACAATTTTATTATATGTATAGGTTAAATGTTCGTATGGTGCTATAATTCGTATTTAGAAATCTCCTTTTCCCCGACCAATTCTTATTATTTTGAATATAAAATATGTAACACTAAAACTTAAAAAGTAAATAGGTACCTAACATTAATTAGTTTTGCGTCGTAAAACGTAAATAAATAAATATGTTGGGACATTAACACACAGCACCATCTAGTTCCATGGTAAGCTACGAGGCTTGTGTTATGGATACCAGATAGTTGATACATTACACATATATAACTTTAAATACATACATATTATAAATATAAACACCCATGACTGGAGTACAAACCTTCGTCGTCACACAAATGAATGCCCCTAGCGGGACTCGAACCCGCGACCGCCGGCACAGAAAGTAGGGCCACTACAAACTGAGCCAAACGTGTCGTCGTAACAAGTTACGTTATTTACGCCTGGTAACTACTCAAATGAAATGAGAATAAAATCAAATGTGATATGCCATACATAGATATATATTTTACAGTATAAATTTCATTATTATATTTAAAATTTCGCTCGCAAGCACTAACGATAAGCAATTCTAAGAACTGCAAAAACTTATTTTATAATTCTAAAGCATAATAAAACCATTTAAACAAAAAAATAAGTTTCCTGTTAAAGATAACGTGAATGGAGTTTAAGCTTAAAGAGTTAGGAATAAGTCATCAAAGGTATCAATGGTACATATTTCTAACAGGTAAAACATTCCACTGATGACTCACTGAAATTAGATCTCATCTCGGCTGGGGGTCTTTTGTTTTTATAAGTAGAAGGCAAGTGGCAATATTGGCAATCTAATCTGCATAGATTAATGCCTAAAATTTAAACACATAAAAGTGTCTATCCGTGATCACACCATAACTATAATATTAAAGCTTATATGGTATTAGATATGTAAAAACGTTTAAAATGTTGTCCAGGTTATTCTTTGTAATGCTTCTATTTCAATACAGTAAATCCTAAGCAGAATACAATCTTAATTTTAAATATTTAGAAAATACAAGTTTAAAAAAAAAGTTTGTAAGAGACAATGGAATGAAAATGATCCTCCCTTTGTTTCCACTCCCACTATACCATATGTAAAGAACTTAAAAAATTAATATTATTTTTTAAGTTTAACTATTTTTTAAGTTTAATTATTTTTTAAGTTTAAATCCTTACGTCTCTTTTGATTGCATCATGTAGGTACCAACCAATGAAAGTCTTGTTAAAAAAAGTTAAGCTTAAGAACTCCCTTTCTTTCCTATCCCAAAGTGTTCTTATCTTTTACTTTAAATAACCTATGTTCTTTATGCATCAGTGAGAACCCCATTAAAATCAATTTAATAATCCCAAACATTTACAGTTGTAAATAGTGAGACAACTTTTTTAAATGGTATTTTTACAGTATTTTTTTTATTTCTTTGTTGCAGCTATAAGGTATTCCATCAAAAACATAAATATGAAAATGGGAGCCAAGTTCAATATTAAGAATATGTGTGGTTGTCGACTTCACCGACAAAAGAATATTGATCTAAATGGATGCCAAGTTCTGTAGATAATCCTGAAATTTATTTATAAGAGCATACAACATTCTAAAATACATTTAAAACACAATTTCTTGTTTTTTTCTGCTACGACAATATTTGCTATTTAAAAATATAATTTCTAAAATTTGAACAGTCAAATTATTTACACAGAGCATGTAACTTAGGATAATTTGAAGCTTTGAATCACTTCTATAACCTTGCCAAAGTTGAGTAATTTAAATGTTAGTTGTCCAGTAAGTAGAATTTAGTCATATAGATTTTGAACTATACTAATTCACTACTAGAGACTTACCCTCGCTGCTCTCGGGTCGGTCCCTAAGTGTGTTAAAGGTTACATGGAATACAAAAAAGAAGGAACGAAAGGTTACATGGAATGGGTATGATGAGTTTTATATCCCATACTTGAGAAAAGATTGTTTCCCCCATGCTTATTTTCATCACCCTTTTCACTCCCTTAAGGGCTGATTTCTGGAATAAATACTATCCTGTCTTTCCCAGGGTCTGAAACTATCTTCATACCAAAAAATTTCCCTTTGTATTATTCATGGTATAGGTAAATTAGGACCAAGAAATATATATTGACATATCTAGATGCAACCTAAATAAAAATATAGATTTTATCCTAATTCTAATAATGAGAAGATTCCTATATTTTTAAGTTTATATAAATTAATTTTTAGTCTATGTGATAAATTATATTGCTATTAAAAATAAAATATTTGTGTTCAAATATTTATAACTTTTACTTACGTAAATGGTAAACAAGCTGCCTTTCAGGGGTGGGCCTAAATGCAGAGAGGTCTATATCAACTGGATATGTGATGGAAAGCCATCTCTGCTGAGGATCAGGGTCACTTGTCAACGCAGTAAAGAGTCCAGGTACATTGTCGGCCAATTCTTCTACATAAGATGACTTAGAAAGTTCAGTTTGTGTGTCATTTGGCTTTGGACACATATCTGAAAATGTTGTTTACATTAATACATTTTTGAAACTTTATAATTACTATTCAAATTTGTAACTGCAACTTACCAACACAACTGCAACATTCGCTATATAAGTAGCTGAGACAGTTAAAGCAATCTTTGCAACAGGAACAGTCCTTCAAATCACATTTACAAGATTGAGTTAACATACACTTAGAGACAACACTAGCACAAATTGCTTCGTTACAAGCGTAAACTATGGATGCAACGCACAAAAATGCTAAAACAAAAGTAATTTTTCCAGACATTTTAATGTATAATTAATTTATTTTCACTTAAATGTAGCACAAATTTTAATATTAAAAATTTTGTGTCCTCGTATATTAACATATATTAGTCTCTATTCATTTTTACTAAAAATTCACGTGTAAAACAATAACGAAAGGAAACCGATGTTTTTACCAACTAAAAGAATGACAGAGTAAAGACAAATGAAATCTCAAGTTCTCAACTCAAGCGCAGGCGCAGCGCAAAAAGATTGTTACTAGGGACGTTCCGAATTCCGATTTTAGTACATACGAGTAGGTACACGATACATTTGATTCGATACCAAGTTGTAAGTACTAATAGAATCGAATCAATCTTGCGATACTTACTTGGTATCGAAACTAAAGTACTGGTATCGAATCGAATCAGACTAACCTTACTTCCGATTTCCGAACGTATCAGAAGCTGTGTGTGAAAGCTCTGTCTCGCTTGGTTATCGGCATATTCGTGTCTCTCATTAATATGGTCATTTTTACCAAACCAAACGAAACAATTGCAAAATGTATCCAATGTTTTAAGTCGGTGAAGTATTGTGGCAATAAGTCTAATTTATTGAAACATCCCAAAACTCATGGAATTAGTGTGGATAAACTAAGTAGCCCAAGTGAGTCAAAAGATGATGCCTCAGCCCTCATCTACGGCACTACCCGAATATGATTTTTGGAAACATAAGCACATGGACAACGAACAAGAAGAAAAAATAAAGTTTCTTTATATATTATATTTTATCAAATCCATCCACCAATCCAGTTTCCCTTAAAGCAACCCATTTTTAGAATGGGATGTTATGAAATTTGTATTTCCTTGTCTTTACAAATTTGCACAACAATATTTAATTGTAGTCGCAACATCGGTTCCAAGCGAGTGCTTATTTTCCAAAGCCGGAGCAACAATGTCACAAACAAGGAACAGATTGTGTCCTAAATACCTAGAGCAGTTACTGTTTTGGGCAATCTTGGTGCTAAAGAGTTTTTTGTTTGATGTAATAATAAAAGATATTTTTTGTTAATTAATTAAAAATTAGTTAATTAATTACTTTAATTTAAATTTTTACCCCCACAAAATTATTGTCCTTTAACATTTGCTATGTAAGTTTCATTAAAAAAAATCTAAAAGTATCGATATCAGTAAGTACTGATACATTAGGAGTATTTATATTTTGTATGAGTAGTATCGAAAAATGATATGAGTAAGTATCGATACTTTGATGGTATCGGAACATCTCTAAATTTATAACCACAGACCAGGAACAACAATAAATATAACCATAAATACACCACTTCGTTTTACGCACTGATGTCGGCAGTGTTGAATGTTGATATATTTTTCACTATTTACATACTTGCAACAAGTTGGTACGTACTCGGTACTACAGATTAAAGAGACTACACTCGGTGAGTCCACCCTTTACATGAATAAAATAGAGTCAATACAAAGTCTCGAATCTCTATTCTCTATAAATGATACGGTAGAGGAGAACTATCTCCGTGATGAAAAAGTGCTCGTCAAAATGCGTTAAATTAGGGTGGCGCTATGGTAGCATGTGGGTATATTGTGAAGAAAACGCCAAAAGTATTATTTAAAAGATCACTTAACCAGCTATCATCATACCAAATTTCATTAAAATCCCTCCAGTGATTTCTGTGATGCGGTAACAGACAGACAGACAAAAATTCTAGAAACTATAGATTCGACTCTGTATCGATATTAATGTCTATTTAAATACGATTTTCCAAAAAATATTTAATGTACAGATTCGGCTCAGTTAGAATTTTATTACATGTATAGATATCAGACAATTTGTTTAATTACATTGACTGCATTATAATAATTCGTAGGAATATTGAGCTTAATCTTTGAATAATTCAAGTAGGTACTTAACCGGATAGTAACATCTTATGATTAATTAAAGATTATTTGGTATGATTATATTATACCCTGATTAATAAAAACAATATTGATGATATTTTTATCAGAAAGATAAAGCGCCCATTTGAGAATAATAATCTAGGTATTGTATAAACTGATTCAATTTATTGATATTCGTAACATGGTAAGTAGGTACACGATTTACAATATTACATTTGTTATTTATTTAGAGAATTAATAATAATCTATTTACTAAGAGAAATCATCATCATCATCTTCCTGCCCATTTCCCAATCACTTGGGGTCGGCGGAGTACATGTTCCGTACTGCTGATAGGATTTGGCAAAAGTTTTACGACCGGCCCCCTGCCTGACGTCAACCCTCCTTGGGAATACTATTGTTGAGAAATAATATAAAACATATTTTCATATAATGACATATTTTCTTTTTTCAGCAACTCTTCGCACTTTTGCTCGGAGTTCTATCGTCAGTGACGCTTCTTGATGCATACAAAAATCCGTATTATGCCCCGGGAAGATCCGTCAATGTTCATTTATTTGAGTGGAAATGGGATGATATAGCTATCGAATGCGAAAGATTCCTAGGGCCTAGAGGTTATGGAGGGATTCAGGTAAGTTATCCTCTTTTTCTGTGTACTTATATTGATGTTACCACCTAACTTGTTGATTATTATTTGCCAAATATATAGGAAACTCAATGTATACCAATTTTCTTAAATTCCAATTGCCTCTTGTATACTCGTATACAGGTATCTCCACCAAACGAGAACGTTATACTTAGATCGTATAATCGCCCATGGTGGGAACGATACCAACCCATCTCCTACCAACTGGTAACGCGATCGGGCAATGAAAGACAGTTTGCTGACATGGTGCGTCGCTGCAATGCCGTCGGTGTCAGGTAAGATATTTGTAGGTGCATAGGGTATAATGTAATGATTTAATTAAGAATTTAATGAACAAATAGTATACTCATTTAAGTATATTATTTCTTCTATTCTAGATAACTGTTAAACTAGACTGTAATCGCTACTCGTAAGTTGAGATGTTATTGGTCCATAAAGAAGTCATAACTTACATGATATTTTCAGAAAAAAATGTTATATGTATTATGTAAAATATTTTTTTACCAAATAGGTATTTCATCTACTTGTGTTTATTAAAATTAGTTATACAAATGTAACTAATGCGAAAACAATACCTTGTTAGATAGTAGAAATTTCTATAGGTACTTATATTAAAGCACCTATAGACGCCTGTTGGAAACTATCAAGATCGATTTATGAGAGATTGCTAAGTACTTAAAATAGTATTGGTAATTTTGTACAGTAATAAAAAATAACTAACAAAAATGGTATATTGACTTCAAAATTAATCAAATATTTCCTTTTTGGTTATCTCTTTATTTAACACTAGCGACTCACCCTCGCTTCGCTCGGGTTCGTCCCTAGCTTGGTTCCCCATACAAACTTTCATCCCCATTTTCACCCTCTTAAGGGATGATTTCCGGAATAAAAAGTATCTAATGTCCTTTCCAGAGTCTCAAACTATCTTCTTACCAAATTTCATCTAAATCGGTTCAGTAGATCCAGAGATTACCCCCTACAAAATCAGAAACACACAAACTCACAAACTTTATCTCTTTATAATATTAGTATAGATTCGCCCCTATTTCCTACGCCTATAGAATGCCTAGAGGAAATTGCTCGTTTAGGGGTAAAGGCCGTTTCTTGTACATTTTCCTACCATTTTGAATATGTATTTTCTTTTCAGGTGTACAATACAGGTTTTTATTATATTATTGATTGTAATTACCCTAGTAGCCATTTTTATATTATTTTATATCAGTTAATTATGTCATTCAAATGTCCTGCAGAATATATGTAGACGCAGTAATCAACCATATGACCGGCGAACCCCAAGAAAACGTGGGTACCGCTGGTAACACTGCAATATTTAGAGAATGGTACTATCCAGCTGTGCCCTACAGACAGGAACACTTTAACTGGCCTCCTTGTGGTATTGAAGGTTCGGATTACCAGAATAACGCTTGGCGGGTAAGGTTTAAATAGTTTTATTTAAACACACTTGACACTACTATTATAAATACAACGATTTGTGTCTAAGGATGTTTGTTACTACTGTATTTAGACTAGACTTTGTTTTATATATATATATATATATATATATATATATATATATATATATATATATAAAACAAAGTCACGTTTTAAATAAAACTATCTTTTCGGCTTATTTCGCGGATTTATTTTGATTTTTGGTTCCCGACGTTTCGAATGCTTTACAGCAATCATGGTCACGGGAGAGACTGAGGTGTTAGATGTCTCGAAGGTATAGTTGTTATAAACAGCCTACCCACAAATAACAAAATGAAAAATTGCACCAAGTACCTTACAATATTTTATAACTTAAAACATTTTTATATCTCTACTCTTTAGGTGCGTAACTGCGAGCTTGTCGGCTTAAAGGATTTGGATCAAAGTAATGAGCATGTTAGAAATATGATCGTCAATTTCATGAACAAACTCATAGATCTTGGCGTTGCTGGATTTAGGTAGGATATACAATTATACACAATAGACATTGCTGATTAAAATAGACATTAGATTATGAAATTTAATTTGTCTTTGAAAATATTCTTTATCATTTTATTTTATTCAATAGAATTGATGCAGCAAAGCACATGTGGCCGCAAGATTTGAAAGTAATTTATGACAGACTACACAATTTGAACACTGCACATGGTTTTCCATCAAATGCCCGTCCGTATATCTACCAAGAAGTCATTGATTATGGTGGCGAAGCTGTTAGTCGAGACGAATACACACCTATTGGTGCAGTCACAGAATTTAGAGCTGGGATGGAATTGAGTAATGCTTTTAGAGGAAATAACGCTCTTCGATGGCTATCTTCATGGGGTCCACAATGGGGACTGCTTGCATCTGCAGATTCTCTTACGTTCATAGATAACCACGACAATGAGAGAGGCCACGGGGGCGGTGGTGGCATATTGACGTATAAAGAATCTAAACCTTATAAAGCTGCTATAGCTTTCCTGTTAGCCCATCCCTATGGTGAACCTCAAATAATGAGCAGTTTTCATTTCTGGGACTCCGAAATAGGGCCACCTATGGATAGTAATCAAAATATCATTTCTCCATCTATTAATTCCGTAAGTTAGTGCTGATAAATTTATTTATTGATAATCTTTTTCAATGATAAGAATTGCTATATTACCTAATTGTTTTTATATTGTAATAAAATAAATAATTTTCATTCGGTATAAGTATCTTTTTAAGCTTTTAGATAGGAAAATATTAAATACCTATTTTTATTGCCTTTTGAGAAAACAATGGATCATCTTAATACACAGTTAAAGTTTTTCACTTTAAGTTGCATCATAATATACATGTACTTTACAAGTCTTATCATATTTTTATATATTTAGGACGGCACTTGCGGAAACGGGTGGGTATGCCAGCATCGATGGCGCCAAATCTACGCTATGGTCGCATTTAGGAACGCGGCCCGTGACGCCGGTGTTACCAACTGGTGGGATAATGGGAGCAACCAAATTGCTTTCTGTCGTGGAAATAACGCTTTTATTGCTTTCAACAGAGATTCTTGGGACCTAAATCAGAATTTACAGGTATGAAATACTAACTTCCCAGTTTAATTTTTGATGAAATATTTTAAAAAATCTAGTGCAATTCTCAAATCTGACTTTTTTATCGTCATATAAATAAACATTTTATATACATATGTATAAATAAAATTGCAGTGTCTGTCTGTAATTTCAAAATAACTTTGTTTTCTCAAGTACATTGAGTTTTTTATACGATACCAGTACCTACACTTTGAAACGACCTTACCGATTGTAATGGGGCTTTCACTGAAAGATAGAGGATATTTTTAGGGTTGGATATAAGAAATGTTTTATTCCGGAAATATTTAGGGTTCCGGCGCGAAAATCGAAAACCTTTAAAAATTACGCAAAATTCGAATTTACCTTTCTAAACTGCTAAGGACGCACGTACCCGAGCAAAGCGAGTGTAAATCGCATATAACAACTAATATACGTATAATAAGTTGTTGGTTGGATATTATCTAAAGTAACATGTACTTAATTAATCATATTGTATCGTATCTCCAAATATCGTAGACATTCAAGATTATTACCTACCTACTGCTAAAGGGTTTCGAAAATCACACTTTTATTAAAAAGTTATATAAGAAACTTTTGTAACGAAGCATTTACAATGAAAGATGAAAATAAAATAAACCTTGTACATTAACTTTTAGACCTGTCTCCCTCCGGGAAGATATTGTGATGTTATATCAGGAGACAAGGTGAACAACTCATGTCATGGCAAGACCGTGACGGTGGGCAACGATGGGCGCGCTAGTGTCCAGGTCGGAGCTAATGAATACGACATGATGTTGGCTATTCATGTTGGACCTGAGGTAAATATCAGATAATGACTGACCGCTATACTGAAAGGTGTTGAAATTGTTACACGAAAATGTATTAAAGTACTTGGCTGTTTTTTATTATTGGTTTTGAAATTTTTTAGATTATTATTGTTTCTTTATTTCACAAAAACTTGAGGGTTTTGCATTTTTGTGTAGTGGTTTTTGTTATTTACGGTCAAATATTTCAATATTCAATTTCATTTGGTATTATCAAAATAGTAAATGTTTATATTCTTAGTGTTATTTTAGGAATATTTTAAAGGGATTAATCACATTTATTAACAAAATGTAATTTCAGAGCCGCCTATAAGTAATCTACATAAGTTGAATACACCATGCCTACAAGATATGAGATGAGACGTGTTGGACTTACTTATTATTTCACATCAATGGACATCAGCTAATATTTAAGTATAAATAAAATGACTTATAAAAGAAATCATATTCGTTTTTTATTTTACTTACCTATGCTATAATAAAACTGTAGAGGTCAGATGTCTGTACATAGAAAAAAAATGCTAAAAACCGAGTCAGGGGGATGTAAGAAGAGAAATAGAACAAATCCAGATTCTTTTCAATTTTTTTGTTTCTCTTGTTTGTCTGTTTGTACGGGCTAATATCCGAATCTATTGGGGCAATTTAAATGAAATTTTGCATGGTGGTACCTTATATCCCCAGTCAACATCTTAGATACTTTTCATCCCAGAAAATTAAAGAGTTCCCGTGGGATAGTTAAAAAACTATAATAACTTATACAGCTTAGGACACAGAAACTACTGATTGGATTTTAATGAAACTTTACAATAATATAGTTCATCAGAATAACAAATAGGCTACTTTGTATCCCGGAAAAATATGCGGTTCCCGTTCTTTTGTTTGTCTAGTCAGTAAAATATGATACATAATACAGAAACCTATTGCATTAGCATAAATTATTTATGTTAGCTAAGCGTAAGTGCATAAATCGATAAATAATCGACAACATAAAGTTGCTATCAATTTTTGTTGAAAAAATATATTGATAACAACTAATTAATATTTCAGATTAATAATGCGTAGAGTCTGAAACCGCAGTGTTAAATATTTATGTATCACACTTAAAATAGATCGATATTTATAACAACGAAGCTACAGAGGTCAGCGCTCTTGAGTGCAAAACAAAACAGTCATCAATATGACGTCATTACACCGCAAGAAAACTTCCAGCCTTTAGCGTAGAGCGTCGAGAGTTGTGTCCTATTAGGATTCCGTAAAGACAAAAACGGAACCTATTATATTTTATATTATTATAACTAGTGACTCACTCTCGCTCCGCTCGGGTTCGTTTAGTATAGATTTCTCACAGATGAGATATTTTTCCGCAATAAAAAGTATCCTATATGGTGACCCGGATAACCAGATATCCTCATACCAAATTTCATCAAAATCCGTCCAGTGGTTCTCTCGTGATGCGATTACAGACAGACAGACAGACACAAATTCTAAAAACTATAGAGTCAGCCTCTGCATCGATAATAATGTCTATTTCAATAAGACTTTCCAAAAAAATACTTATTAAATATTTATTATGTAAATTTATTAAAAACTAGCGTTGCCCGCGGCTCCGCCTGCGTTCAGGTGACCAAGAAAAAAATTCTTAGATTTTACATATTGGTATACTCTTACACTGCAGTTTTTGTATTTTTTTCAGAAATGAGACATTTTCCCGCGGTAAATAGTATCCTATATGTATCACCATACCAAATTTCATCTAAATCCCTCCAATGGTTTTTCTGTGATGCGGTAACAGACAGACAGACAGACAGATATAATATAATAATATAATAATGGGATTAAGCCTATGGAAGTGTTTAAACGTTTCGCCAATTCAGCGCCAGAACGCATTAATAGCGATTTTTAAGCCATTAAAAATGACAGAGTTTGAGACAAACTTTCATTCCCTATTTTAGGCCGTTAAGGGCTTAATTTCTTTATCATTGTGTTGGCATAAACCTGTCATTAATCATATGGGGATGACACTGGCTCCTGCAATACAGTTTTTAACGAGCGCAGGGGCTAGGGAATTCTTTATCACCTGTGTATGTAAAAAATTATGTCAATAAAGAATTTATTTATTTATTTATTTAATTTTGAAAAACCCTTTCTTTTGTCTAGAGTATAAAATCAATATTCTCTCCAAATTTTAAACGTCTATCATCATCGGTTTTGGCTGAATGTTGATAAGTCAGTCAGTAAGTCGCGATATTGTCTTTTTTATAATAAAAATAGGTATTGCGAGTGTACCTTAGGAGATAGACACATGATATTCTGGGACTTATCTGTAAGCTTTTTTAAGACCTACAATTTTCTAGTGCATTATTTTGATGTATGTCTTAAGTTTTAACCAGCGGAAGGTTTCTAAGGACGACTCGATAGAACCAGTTATTGTGTTTTCCCGTGGGAATGAAAGATTTTCCTGCATGCAGTAAAAGGTACCCCAAATGTTGACCCATCTGTGATGTGTATGTGAATAAAAAGATATCACTACACAAAATTTAGTTAAAATCGGTTCAGTATTTTTGCGTATTTAGCGTTTTGCAATCACAAAAGTACCAAAAAAGTAACCAACTTAATTATTTAGATATTTTTAAGTCTACTTATTTTTGGATCTTTTGAGTCAATTAAACTTATGTAAATATTTTAATGAATAAAATATGAGGGAATATTATTATTTTATGATGGTTTTATAAATCATGGCGGTTATTGCGAGAGCAAAATGAAATGATATTAATAATGTCATTACTCTTATGAAATGTACTAAACACATACTTAGAGTAATGTGTATCTGTCTGTGTATTTAGCCCTTTTTAGCGTCCCACTGCCGGGCACGGGCCTCCTTTCAATACCTAGGGGAGCAGGGCGTAGTCCACCACGCTGGCCAAGTGTGGGTTGGCGGACTTCACATGTTTTTCGAAAGCTTGCTAGGTACTTTCAGACATGCAGGTTTCCTGACGATGTTTTTCTTTACCGTAAGGCAGGTGGTAATCATGTTAAAAATAATTAGAGTAAATATTCGGTAATATTACGAGTACATACCATTACTGTGGTAAGTACGTTAATATTAATAAAGATGATACAGACCTCATAATACAACGTTTTATTTACCATTTACATTCGCTTAGGTACCAGGTTTCATGTTTATTTCATAACTAGCGGCTCACCTTCGCTTCGCTTGGGTTTGTGGCTAGGTACGTTTTAAATAGATATAAATAGTTATTAGCCTGCGTTAGCCATATAAATTGTAATTTTTTTTGTTAATAATATCATATATATATATATATATATATATATATATATATATATATATATATATATGATATATTGTCAATAATAACAAATGGCAAAAAAAAACTGCCTCGGTGGTGTAGTGGCTAGCATGTACGGCTGCACACCCGGAGGTCCTGGGTTCGAGTCCCGGGTCGGGCCAAGTTTAGTTATTGAGTCTTCCTGTATAGTAAGTCTCAGTAACAGCCCGGAGTTGAGAAGTTGGCGGTGTTTCACTCCCGTGCCTCGGAGAGCACGTAAAGCCGTCGGTCCTGCGCCTTAACTCTCACCGGTCGTGTCGAGTAATCGTCCCACCGGAGTATGAGAGTGATAGGAATAGAGATTGCACTTGTGTCTGCGCGTATACTTGAGCACTATAATATCTCCTGCGCAGTTGGCTAATCTCATTGAGATTGGCCGCCGTGGCCGGAATCGGCTAAGAGAACATCATCATCATCATCAATAACAAATATTGATATTAATATTTATACGATACTAACGTCACTCAATTGTTTTGCCTTCCCGGAACCTCTCCACTAACCCTTAAACCTTATGGTATGGTATTAAAGTTCAAATTGACTTTTAAGTATTATTACGAATCTTTTGTATGGGAGTATAGAAAAGTGTTGTTTTTAGACTGTTTCAGGCAATTTTTTAAATTTTTCTCTACGTAAGAACCATCCTCGTACTTCAAGGAATATTCTAAAAAAAGAATTAGCGAAATCGGTTCAGCTGCTCTCGGGATTTGCGCTTAGCAACACATTAAGAGATTCATTTTTATATTATAGATGATAACATAACAATACCATAGTATTCAAATGATAACAATACTTAGACAAACTCCAGAATATTTTAAGCAAAACAAGCTCGAGCATAAAACTCAGGCGGTACTGATACATCTGGGTTCTGCCTGGCATGTTTATACTCGTAAGTAAGTAGGAAAGTTAGCACAAATAAAGTAGTTGCGCGGTCGAGTTTATTCATTGCATGATTTTGAATATAAGACACAAACATACATCTCGTACAACGTGATTTCATATAAAGATCCTGAATGTCAAACGTCCATTTAAATTTATGTGTACTGCAGGTAAAAACCTGGTGTTTCATTATTAATATTCGAACTGACTTGGTCTAGACAAATCTACAGTAAACAACAATACAGCACTGACAAGACCGGTTTACTGTACTCGACACACCCGCGGCACAGCCTCCAGTCGACGAGATGGCGTTCCGCTCTACACTCCTGCGCATAGGTGAGTACTTATTTAACCTATAATTTACTTTAATATTCAATCCATAATATTTTAAAGTGAACATAACACATAAAAAATGTTCTTTAAATGTTATTATAACTGACTAGGCAAACGTATTTATGTTATGGGCATCTACGAAAGTTATTTTTCACTAAATATTAAGATTTATCATTACTTTCTAAAGCAATATGTCAAACGTGATAATTATTGTAGTGTACATACACACAATACAATTATTGGTGTAGAGACTCTAGATACCTGTCAACAGACAACAGTGTTGCTTGACCTTGAATGGGCCAAATGAGAGTAATTTGCATTAGAGAAATAATCAAATTATTTCTCGTATTATCAGTATTTTACAGCACGCGACATGTTTAACATATGCGAAGATATTTATAGATCATTGTCAAACAAAATCAGAGAAAACCTTGTAATGCAGGAAAATCTACATAAGCACAGATAGGTACAGAAATTAGCTGTAAACTCTACTTTGTTGAATAAAAGTTCTTATAAATTATTTGCGGCGGCGCGGCGCGGCGTCTAAATTAGTGCGAGTTAAAGCTTTTTATTATATCAAATATTCTAAATTCAAAAACCAGTTTTCAATTTTTCAATTTTATTTAAGGCATACGTATAAAGTTATTTATGTATTATATCTAATCTGTTATATTTAAAAGTGTTATATTTTATCTAACCATTTATACTTAGCTTTCAAAGGACAGCCAACTCGTCATCTCCATGAGTTGAGAAAGAAGGAGCGTCTTGGAGTAACTCAGCTTCGTGAAATTCTAGAAGACAGACTTCAAGATATTAGGCGTGCTAAAACCTGGAAATATGAAAGGATAATCACGTCACCTCAGGATACAAAGGTAGGAAGAGTACCACATAGGCCATATATCTGCGGAGAACACGTTGTAAAATATGATACGATTAGCAATAATGTTTGTGTTTAGGTGATAAGAAAGAGATCATAATCTATACATATAATAAAATTGTAATTAAGCCGAATCTGTACATTAAATATTTTTTAGAAAATCTTATTGAAATAAACATTATTATTGATCCGAATCTATAGTTTTTAGGTTTTTGTCTGTCTGTCTGTTACCGCATCACAGAAAAACCACTGGAGGGATTATTATGAAATTTGGTATGGTGATAGCTGGTTATCCGGGTCAACAAATGGGATTTTAAATTTTAAATTTTTACCACGGGAAAACGTCTCATTTCTGAGAAAAAATACAAAAACTGCAATGTAAGAGTATACTAATATGTAAAACCTAAGGATTTGGTTTTTGGTCGTCTGAACGCAAGCGGAGCCGCGGGCAATGCTAGTAATTTATACTTGTGGTATTTGGTTATTGTTGTTATGTGTCATGTACAGTATTGTATGTCGTGATTAATACACTTTAAGACGTGCCATGTTTCCTTGAACATTCAAAGGAAGGTCCTGATCTTAATTCATGGGACAGTATTTATTATTTTTTTGAATGCAGGACATGTTTTCAGGTCAAGGTGCAAGGAGCTGAAGGAGAGTTTTTAAATTTTTGCGCCAATAATTACTTGGGATTAGCTGTAAGTAATATCTTGTCTATCTATCTTGTAATAAGTTTTAATTGAATTTCGGGTTGAGTAATTTTCATTAAATAAAATTTTTTTATACAATTCTCTATTCCAGAATCACCCTGAAGTTGTTAAAGCCTCTCAAGAAGCATTAAGCAAGTTTGGCGCAGGACTTAGTTCTGTTCGATTTATTTGTGGAACACAAACAATACATAAGGTTAGTTTTAAACTATGTAACGATAGTATGAAACGTATATGTAAAGTTTCGAATTAAAGAAAATTGTTCTAAAAATCATTTATCATCATTTCATTTTAAATTAACCATTATGATTTTATACCTAGCTATAAGTTAATTAAAATGTAGACGATGATGGCAATGAAATGGTTTCAACGAAAAAAACATTACTTTTTATCCCGGAAAATGTACTGTTCCCGTGGGATAGACTTGTTTTTGTTTTCAACATAGCAAGGAATCGACTATCTATTCCATACTAACCGTTAACACGCGAAGGTAAGTCGATAGTATAAATATAACTTAGTAATCCAATTTACAACTCTATATATTTACAGGAACTAGAAAATCGTTTGGCAAAATTTCATGAACGTGAAGATGTAATACTTTATGCATCTTGTTTTGACGCTAATGCGGGTTTGTTTGAAGCTCTACTAACAGCAAAGGACGCAGTTTTCTCTGACGCATTAAATCATGCCTCTATTATCGATGGTATTAGACTGTCTAAGGCTCAAAAGTTCAGATTTCCACATCGAGATTTGAAAGGTATGTTGAAATATTTTATGCTTTTTTAAATATTTTATTACCTATTATCGGTTAGTTATTTTTTAAATTTCAACATTTGTCTAATTCCTCGATGCGCAGTACCCAGCGTCTTTACATTTTATACGACACCGTTTCCAAATCGACTTTTACATTTCCACACCTGTCCATAAACTGATATGCATTCAATTGTCCCTTTAAAATTAATTTATTATTCTTATAAATTCATTAGTGGTAACGAATAAAGATTCGATTGTTACGTCTTAAGCTTAAAATATAAGAAATCCTTTAAAAAAACGAACGGATCGACAACATTGAATCTTAAAGAGGCGTACAGAACTTTAAGGATAACTCTTTAGTTTTTACCTTTTTTATTCTTTTTTTCAGAGTTAGAACATTTATTAGCTCATAGTGAATCTCGAATAAAATTAATAGTAACGGACGGTGTTTTCTCGATGGACGGTAATATTGCGCCGATACAAGGGTTGCGCGATTTGGCCGACAAGTATAGAGCATTGTTGGCAATTGACGACAGCCATGCTTCTGGATTCTTTGGTGAAACTGGCAGGTGATTACTATGTTCTTATTATAACAGTACAAGTAGAACCACATACATACATATCGTACCTACATACGATATCACCTACAGTGACCACCGTTGTCAGTAGGTACTAGGTAGGTACAATGTGTATAATTTAAGTAGGTAATATACGCTTTACATGAATATTGAGGTATTTCGTGTAGAGTTTTAAGTTTTTTGTGTATGTAGATGGTAAACAAATTTTTATCCAACCTCAAACATGTCGAAGCCGTGCGTTCTGACTTAATAAAAAACATCAAAATAAACACGCCACTGCCTTATATCTGTTGAAATGAAAACACGATCCTCTTCCCCACATGAGGGAGGACCTCCATAATAAAATATCTAAATATTAAAAATGTTTGCTAACTCCGTTTTTAGTGTTTTCGCTAATTTTCCAAACCAAAACTCTTTTTTTTCAAATATTATTAAAGACCTTCACAGCAAAGACTCCACTCCACACCTTAGGTAATTGCTTTCATACTCATCCCGATCCTGAATAAGACACAATCTATACATATAATAAAATTGTAACTAAGCCGAATCTGTACATTTCATATTTGTTGGTAAATCTTATAGAAATAGACATTATTATCGATACAGAGGCCGAATCTATAGTTTTTAGAATTTTTGTCTGTCTGTCTGTTACTGCATCACAGAAAAACCACTGGAGGGATTTTGATGAAATTCGGTATGGTGATAGCTGGTTATCCGGGTCAACATATAGGATACTTTTTACCGCGGAAAAATGTCTTATTTCTGAGAAAGAAATACAAAAACTGCAATGCAAGAGTATACTCATGGGTAAATCTAAGAATTTGGTTTTTGGACATCTGAACGCGGGCCGAGCCGCGGCCAATGCTAGTAGACTATAAAAGATATAACTCTGTAAGCTTTGTACCATGTAATAGCAATCATTTCCACATTTACTGTTTCAGAGGAACAGAAGAGTACTGTGGTGCGTTTGGCGCTGTCGATATTGTAATCTCCACATTGGGCAAGGCGGTGGGCGGCGCCGCGGGCGGGTATATAGCGGGCCCTAAAGAACTTATTGCCTTGTTACGAAATGTATCGCGACCATATTTGTTTTCAAACTCCCCTCCGCCTGCTGTTGTTGCTGCTTGTTTAAAGGTATATTTTTGTTTCTATTCCATTTTTAGATGGATTGGAATTATAAAGACTATATTCATTATATATATACATAGGTATGATAAGTTGTTGTAGGCTTTATTATAACGTGTTTTCCCGTGGGAATGAGAGTATCTCCCGCGGTAAAACCATTACACAAAAAATCACACCGGATTGGTCAATCTGTTTTGATGTGAAAGAAGGGCAAACAAACAACAAATACTCTTACATAATATTATATTATTAGGGATATGCAAATTGTATAGACACAATTTAAAAATATGTTACTATGTAGAAATTATATAAATATAGAAAGAGCACTTCTTGATATTGATTATCTATACATATAATAAAATTCTAACTAAGCCGAATTTGTACATTAAATATTTTTTGAATTAGTAGTAGTAGTTATTGAAATAGTCATTATTATCGATAGAGAGGCCGATCCTATAGTTTTTAGATTTTTTGTCTGTCTGTTACCGCATTACAGAAAGACCACTGGAGGGATTTTGATGTTGGTATGGTGATAGCTGGTTATCCGGGTCAACATATAGGATACTTTTTACCGCGGAGATGTATAGTAAAAGTTTCCTGCATTACCACTCTTTGACTATGATCGAATATCATTTGTTTTTTTCTTTTTTTTTAGTCTTTAGATATAGTAGAAAACAGCAATGAACTCAGGCAACGTCTGCGCGAGAATACCAGGGTTTTCCGCGAGGGTATGAAAAAGGTCGGTTTCACCGTAGCGGGTGAGGATCATCCAATATGTCCAGTCATGGTGTGGGACGCTCCGATGGCTATGGAACTCGCTTCTGGGATGTTGGGTAAGTAATCCTTATTAGGCAATTTGGTACACATAAACACAAAGATTTTTGCCTCTTCGGCTTTTGGAAATCGGCAAATTATTTATTTACACGCTTTTCAAATGTAATTAGCCCACCATAACTTAATCTGACGGTTTCAAGTATTTCCACCTTATCAAAATATTTTTTTAATATTTTAATGGGCTGCCCTAGACGCGCGGCCTTATATAGAGAACTTATATTATGGTGGAGGTACTGAACAGAGTGCAAGGTATCACCCCTTATGTTAATCTGCCGCGCATGAGTAACTCCAAAAATCCCCTCTTGGGCTACTATAAAGATGTCTATTTCCCAACATTTAACAAACACGTTTAAATGTTTTACTGTTAAAAGTATTCATATATGTAATAAATATTTTTCTATATTACAAACATCCAGAGCGGGGTATTTACGTGGTAGCATTCAGCTACCCGGTGGTGCCGAAGAACGAAGCGCGTGTACGAGTGCAGTTAAGCGCCGCGCACACTCTAGACGACGTAGACCGAGCTATAAGCGCTTTTGCCGAAATCGGAAAACGTGTGGGACTTGTTAAATAATTATTAACTTATTTTGTTAATAATTAATAAGATAATAAAATTGATATTTTATTATGAATGAATGTAAACTTTATTTGTATTTATTATTTTTAACATTATTTACATTGAAATGTATAGTATTATATAATTCTGTGTTAAAATTAAACAGCATATAATATGCGTTAGCATTATATTTTTAATGTCTTTGTTATATATGTATAAAACTAAAATCAATATATAAATTTTAATTATTGTAAATATGTATTATAAATACAAAAATAAACGTTGTATATCCAAATACGGTCCATATATTATTTACTAGCGACTCACCCTCGCTTCACCCGGGTTCGACTCTAGTTACGGTAGGTTTTAACGGTTAGTATGGAATAGTCAATAGAAAGAGTCATGATGTTCTTCTGACCGATCCCGGTCACGGCGGCCAATCTCATTGAGACTAGAGATATTATAACACAACGTGCAATCTATTCCTGTCACTCTAATTCTCTGGTGGGACGAGCACTCGACAAGACCAGTGAGAGTTAAGGCGCAGGACCGACGGCTTTACGTGCTCTCCGAGGCATGGAGGTGAAACACCGTCAACTTCCCAACTCCAGGCTTTACTGAGGCTTACTATATAAAAATACTCAATAACTAAACTTGGCCCGACCCGGGACTCGAACCCAGGACCTCCGGGTGTGCAGCCGTACATGCTAGCTACTACACCACTGAGGCAGTTAGCAGAAAGAGTATATTAGGTATGAAGAGTTCTATATCTCTTACTTGAGAAAAGACTGATTCTCCATACAAACTTCAAAGTTCCACCCTCTTTTGGAGTGATCCTTAAGGGATGATTTCGGGGATAAAAACTATCTTATATTCTGCCCAGGGTCTCAAACTATCTTCATACCAAATTTCATCGAAATCGGTTCAGTGGATTAAACGTGAAAAGGTAACAGACAAACAGACAGTTATTTTCGCATTTATAATATTAATAAGGACGGAAAAATAAAACAATGTTTGTAATAATAATCGATCTATTAACAATAATTTATTACAATAATAAAACACACTTTATTGACAACTCGGTAACACAAAGTGTTAAAATCTCTCTACACTCACAAGTTACGTTTAAACTATAATTATATTTCATTATTTACATTGGTATCAAATGATCTCTAACTCGTCACTATTATTGCGTCTTATACATTTTAAAGGTGGAAACGGAACAGACATGTTTAACAATAACTAAAAGTGGTTTTTTTTACTTTTAGTCACCAATTAATTATCTAATAAAAAAAATCTAAAGCCTAGTTTAGACTAAAAATAAGACAATATACACGGTACACTCAGTGTATATACCAAGTGTCTGTGTGAATGCGGGTTTCTAATACACGCCGGCGTTACAGTTAACAATAGATTTCTTAGAAATTTAATTAATTTCTTAGAAATTTAATTAATTTCTTAGAAATTTAATTAATTTCTTAGAAATTTACCTGCATGTGTTAATTGTGATTGTGGCACGGTAGTAAGTGTCGTATTAGCGGCTGTGTAAAGTGTCTCGTGTCTCTGTCCAAGTGTCTCGTGTAGTTGAAAGTTTTTGAACAGATTCGACATTTTCAATCAGGGCTGCCAGGTCGTATAATTAGATATGAAAATGGTATAATATGGTTATCATATATATTTAGTTTGTATAGCAGATTGCCTTGTATACAATAATAAAAAATTTATTCCTCCCGTAAGTTTGCTAATGTCAAACAAAAAAGTATCTAGAGGCCGAACGTTTCTTAATCGTTGATGCCAAGCAAGCGGTTTATGTATGTACGTTAAAGTGACAAAAAATGAATTAGTATGTTCGTCACAGACTATTTCTCAAGTTTTGTTGATCTATAAATATAATAAAATTGTAACTAAGCCGAATCTGTACATTAAATATTTTTTGGAAAATCATATTGAAATAGACATTATTATCGATACAGAAGCCGAATCTATAGTTTTAGAATTTTTGTCTGTCTGTCTGTCTGTTACCGCATCACAGAAAAACCACTTGAGGGATTTAGATGAAATTTGGTATGATGGTAGCTGGTTATCCGGGTCAACATATAGGATAATTTTTACTGCGGGAAAATGTCTTATTTCTGAGAAAAAATACAAAAGCTGCAACGTAAGAGTATACTAATATGTAAAACCTACGAATTTGGTTTTTGGTCATCTGAACGCGGGCGTAGCCGCGAGCAATGCATAGTTAATAATTATTTTACTACAATTTATCCCGAATTCCACCTTTAAATATATTAATTAAGGCTTTATGAGATCTCATTCGTTGAAAAACCTTCTCTATGTACGTTAGAACTAGCAAACGTAAAATCAAAATATTAATTAGAAATTAGAATTTTGGAAATCTAATTTGAGCGTTCTCACGCGTTTCATTGCATACAAACATTGGATGTATTATCCCTTCCCTTGACTTTAAATGCCATACATGGTGTAATACCTCAAAAAGTTCATTTCAGAAAAATATCTTTTAATCTTAGAATTTCTAACCTGGAGGGTATATTCTGTAGCATTTGTTTTGGAAAAAATTCCTATTTGTCATTATGGACGTTGACAAGTTGTGAGCGACCCTTATTTTACTTTAGACGTCTCGACTTGAACTCATTGTAGGACAATCGGTTTGACGGGACCTGTAACAATAAAAAAAAAATCAAAAAAATAATATATTTAAATTAATCTAAATGACACGTAACCGTAAATCGCAATCAGCTCACAAAAAAAATCATAATTCGTAGAAAATTGAAAAAAAAAACTTACTGATTAATAATTCAGACATTGCTTTACTAACTTTTGAAAGTCCCTGTACTACTTATAGCAGTATAGGGCTCTATCGTATTGGCCATATACTTGAAAATGTTATTAAAATATAACTTAATTAAAAGAATTAATGGCTTTATTATATATAATTTTATAATGTAAATGTAATATAGTATTCAGATAAAGATTTATTTATACTAATTCCCGAAACGAGACCGAGAGATTTGTATAAGTACAGTATATATACTCTACTTTCTGCATGTGTATTCATTCAAAAGTGCTAAGTTATAAGTTTAGAAAGGAGCTTAAAAGTAAATTACCACTTGTTTGGTTTAAAAAGTTATTTAGTTGCAATAAAATTATTTCTATTTAATGTATTTCATATCTATCTTAAGTATGTCTAAAAAGAACATGTTTATTTTGGCTATTTATATTCAAACTAGCGACTCACTCCGTTTGGGATTTGTTCGTTCCTAGTTACATTTTAACATTTAGTATAGATTTCTCAGAGATGAGATATTTTCCCGCAGTAAAATGTATCTTATATATTGACCGGATAACCAGCTATCATCATACCAAATTTCATCAAAATCTGTCCAGTGGTTTTCTCGAGATGCGGTCACAGACAGACAAACAGACAAAAATTCTAAAAACTAAAGATTCGGCCTCTGTATCGATAATAAATAATAATGACTATATCAATAAGATTTTCCAAAAAAATATTTAATGTACAGAATTCGGTTTAGTTACAATTTTATTATATGTATAGATATTCTTTATATATATATTTTCTTTTTATAGATATTCTTTAATACTCAATCAAATATAATTGAAACGTGAGATAAACCGAGTATAAGCGACCTAGCCTTGAAACTGCCCTTTGCAAGAATCAACATCCTCGCGGAAGAAATAACCAATTTAATATACAGTGACCTTCATTTATAAAGTTAACTTCCTACATTAAGGTTCTATTGAAGGTACATATATTACATTATTGTTTGTAACAATAATATTACAAAAGCGTGAATAATAATAATTAGTACCTACTGTTTTTCATGGTTATTTTTCCTTATTTTCACATTTTAACATCATATAGTAATGTTTTAGTTTTTGGTATATATATATATATATATATATATATATATATATATATATATATATATATATATATATATATATACATATATTTAGGCTTGGTAAAATGTACATAATATGATTCTTTTGCAATAGAACCCTCTTACTAAGTTCACGCTGTCTATTCGTCTGTCCATCTGTCCTAACTCTAAAAGGTATATTTGAACCGTAAAAAGTATTATAACTCTTTTAGAACATGTTATTAAAAGAAAGTAAAAAAAATACAAGAAACGTTTACCTTTTTATTTTCGTTTTGTCTGTGTGTACTAAATTTATTACAATAATTAAAGTAGTAAAGATTTGATTATAGTGCAAGGTGTACTATATAACAAAAAAACAATAAAAACTGGCCAAGTCTGAATCTCAGGCACGACTGCCGCAGCCACGTGACTCAGAGATATTTTCACTACGTCAGAGGTCACAGGTTCGATTTTACCAAATTATAGATAGCAATAATAAGTTACAAATAATTAATTGGTCTATTTACAAAACTCTAAAAGAACCGAGGTGTAAGAACAATATTGAGACTAAATAGCAATGACTTTGATTTATTTTAACGGTGTCAATTACATTTTAATATAAATAGTTCATGTTATCATGTTAAAATATTAAAAAGTAATTAGTTGGCTGTATTTATTTTACTAACGTAAATATAATTAATATATGAGAAAAACGCAAAAAAATAATTTACCGAATAAATTAAAAATTTATAGAACCCCCTACTCAAATTATCTGTCAATTAACGGTTACACTGGCACGCGTGAAGCACTGAATCGAGTACTTAATCATACGCCAAAATGCCTTACATCATCTTGGTAAAGAGCTGATACTCTTTCACTGCTGGACCGATATTAACCAAACATAGCTAAGAACCACCGCAAGGAAACTGGCTTTCAAATAAAAAGAAACCGCATTGTATTCGGTCCATCCGTTTGAGAGAATGCCACAGACAGACACACACACACTGACAGACAGACACATCGACAAACTTATAACACCCCTCTTTTTGCATCGGGGGTTAAAAATATAAGTAAATTAAACAAAACTAGAATATTGACTGCATGTTTTATCTATTTTTTTTATTAAATTACATCTTGTAAAAAATAATATTATATCAAACTACTATTATGCCATAATGTTTAATAAAATAATTGGTAATACAATTATACAGATTTTATTGAATGTTGCTACCCTTTTTTTTTTAACGTTGGGAAATGCATTTACGCACGACGTGTGGGACTCACCGGCGTAATATAGCCAGTACTACCCACTAAAACTCAACAAAACCTTCCCCCGTCCTAATGGGGCGTCGCAGGATCGCTTACGCATTCAACTACGACGGCCCGACGGCAGGTCTGCCGAAGCAGACCACCACAACCATGGGGTTGCTCCAAGGTCCACTTTGCTATCAGAGAAGTACCAGGAGCAACCCGCATGGTACACCGCCCCCCGAAGAGGGCCACCTCCCACCGCCCACCGAAGTGGGCAACCTCCCTGTGCGTTTCTTAGCTTCGCGCCCGGTTGGATTGCCGGGCACTACTGCGCCCTCCCACCACGACAAGACGACCCTCAAATAACTTATTAACTAATTGACTGCATCACATCACATTAATGCATGCAGTATTAAAAAAAGTCAAGAAAATCTAAGTGTATATAAAGTTAGAATTGAATTTAAATAGCCTGAATTTGACAGATTTTGCGAAAGGTTTAGGAAAATAAATGTAAATTATCTTTTGCCGAAAAGCATAACAATCAATACTTATTTTAAAAAATTTAAAATTATTTAGGAGATTTAAATAAAAAACTTAAGTAAAATATATCGGAAAAAGTTAAGTCTTAACACCATTTCAATATAAACAATTATAAGATTTTAGATATATTAATTTAATAAATAATATTTAAGTACTTTTTCCTAAAACACAATATCGACTTGTTAGAAAAACATATAAGTGTTAATTTATTAAATTATTGTTCCGAGCAGTCTATTGCGTAATATCAAAGTTAAAAAAAAAGTATCAGCTTATTAAAGGTGTTTATTTTTTAAACTTCTTGACACCTCTTAGGAAAAATATTGTAGCTCAGTTTGATAGGAATTTTATTTTTACAAAGTTACAACGTTGTTCCTTGCCGGTATCGATCCACTGACACTACCATTAAAATGATCTTTCAATTTGTTTTGGCTTTGAGAATACAATTAAAATTCAAATATGCTTAAATTAAAAAAAAAAGTTGAGTGTGTCGTGGATATCTCTTCTCTTTTGCTATTATATAAATAATATAATTAATCATCAAAATTCGTTAACTACCTGACGTAGTAGTGTTAATTCCGGTAACGGGAGGCGCCACACTTGTCGGTACTGTGGTCACGGGGGCCGCCGTACTGGCTGGCTTCTGTAAATCATAACAGGTGATGTGATTGTGACTCTAAATACTGAAGACCCTAACTATATATACCATTTACTATATATATATATATATATATATATATATATATATATATATATATATATATATAGTAAATATTGTCGCTATGTTCGTATGACAGAGCCATTTTTATTGATCCTGTAAGTCTAAAATTTGGAACATACTAAATATATTCATGTAAACCATTACAAGCATTCCATATACATACATATATTATTATATGTATTTTAAAACAAAGTGAAACATTTTTTATATTTATTTTTCAAGTACGAACTATCTATATGACAACATGGGACATCACTAACTTCTGAAAGTTATAAAATATATGAAAATATGTTGAAATATTTAGGATTTTATTGTTTCCACGTTTTTTTAATTTAACATATTATTATACAGATTTTTTTATTTCTGTGTTGCGGCTATAGGTATCATTTCGACCATTTCTCATTTATTGTCATCGCCGCATATGAGACTAGAGCCACCAACTCATCCCTACAGCTATTATAAACTGTAGGATTTGTTTAGGTGTACACTCTATAATTTTATCTGGGCCTAGAATCGGTTTCCCAATATGAAAGCTATGCTCCATAAGACGGAGCGGTGTTTCATTCGCCTCCATGCATCTTTGGCAGGAAAATATATCACTCAGCCATAGTTTGAACATGTGTTTCTTTAAGTAGCAGTGTCCGGTGAGAACTCTTACTAATAGTTTCGCGTCAAGTGATACTTTTAAATATTTATCTATAAAAATAAATATTCGCTTTGAGCTTATAAAATGCTTAATTTTGATTCACTCACCCTCATTTCCTCCATTTTCGTCTCTAACCCATCTATCCTGTTAACAAGTGTAGAATTGAGCGCAGCGATCTGGTCCTTCAGTTCGCTTTCCCTTTTTTCGTTGTTCGTCAAATTGACGATGGTTTCATTATTTTTTCCTTCTAGTTGTTGTATTAGATTTCTAACTTCCTCTAACCCCGCTGTCGCGGCCACAGCTTGTTTTCGAGTAGAGGTGAGCGCACTGTCGAATCCTTTGATCTGTGAAAATTTGTAAAAGACACGTAAAAATAATGTATTATTTTAGAAAGTACTAATTTATTATTATTTAGTAATATCTTATTTTAATATATAAACTTATATTGTACATATTATTACCATTAGTGGTTGTTATTTTTCACAGACTTTAAAAAAGAGGAGGTACTCAATACGGCTGTAATTTTTATGTTGGTACATATGTTATGAGATAGTGAATGGTATGACAGCTAATTGGCGATATCATCGTCAATTTGGATAATTCTCTTCTCCAAACGAATTGCTTTTGTTATTTTTTTTTATGAATAGGTTAAACTCAAAGGAAACTTTAAGGAAGGAATAGTTACGTTTAAGTTTGAAGTCGATGTACTTTTTTTAGTAAATATCATTATTATTACCGTTCCTGACAAACTTAGTGAAGTTACTGTAATATAAGTAATGAGAGAAAGTTATTATTAAGAAAAAAATGAACTTATTCAATGTCTTGAACATTAAAAACGGGACATTTAACATTGTTTTTTACTTACTTTTATTAGTCATCATAAAGGCAATTAACATGAAAGCTTAGACTTACATTGTATCTAATGTACAAAAAAGTATTTACTACTAATATATAATTTACATAAGAATAAAAAAAAAACAAAAGAACCTGTGAGCCGAAACCAGCGACAGTTAATTGCAATTCACCCAATCTTTTCGGTGTGTCGGCTAGCTTGGGTGCCGCTGATAGTTGTTCTGACACTGTGGCCAGGTCGTTAGTGGCCTTCTTCATGCGTTCTGTCAACTCTTGGTGCTTTAACTCCAGATTGGACAGTCGAATATTCAACTCGCTCGCGTTCGCGCGAAGTTCCTTGGCGGCTGTGTGACATATTTGTAATGCATCACCTACGCCGTTGCTGCTTATTGATACTGTCGGCAAAAGATAAAAATATATATGTGGGTGACCCTCATACCCTTCAACCTTGAATGTCCATAGGTGTCTTTTTACTATACAACACACACTTAGGCCAACGCACGTCGATAAAGCAATTCAGCAACCATTTTTTTCGACTTGAATTAAAATTATTAAGACTTCTGACAACAAACGAAAAACATTTTTATCGAAATAAAAAATAGCCTAAAGCACTCGGCAGTAACTTCCTATTAGTGAAAGAATTTTCAGAATCGAATCAGTTGTCTTTGAGATTAGATACATACAAACTTACAAACTTTACAGTTTTATAATATTAGTAAGTATATCTAAGTATGATAGTACTCGTATAGATAAATATTAATATGTTAAATATTATTGACGTAAGATTTATCACTTCAATCATTTGGCTAGACTTAATTTATTTTTGATATCTTTCTTATAACAGGTATACTTGACTTGAAAGCCACGTCATATTTATGTAAATATCAAAAACGAATTTTTTTTAATACTTTTATTAAAAAATATATTATTTAGAATGTCTTGCATTTAAAGAGTGGGAGCTCTTATAGAGATAGGTTTTTCTTTGTTCTTAGTGTTTATACATATTTAATTCTATTCAATGTAATTAGTATATAAAAATATACATTCATGCAACATATAGTTTTTTACAAAATGGGGGCAATGGAAATTTGAAAATTATCATAAGTCTATCCTGATTTGAAGCTTTGACTACACTACTGACTGAGTTAAAAAGTTTGTTTTATTGTTTATTTAAACGCACTAGTCTCTAAAACTACCGGTCCCCGCCCTAGTGTGATATTTTAAATTGGAAATTTAATATTACTTAAGTTAAAATAACCTAAGTTACTATGCATAATTTTAGATTTCTAATGGCGAAAGAATTTAAAGTCATTCGATTCCAGACATATTATATTAATATAAATTTAATGATAAAGGTTAAATAGCATATTATCAAGCATTACACTACGATCCTTAGAAGTAAAGATAATATACATAAGAAACAACGTTTCAAATGTAGTTTAACGATTTTGAGGAGAAAGATTTTTAAAAATAAATCTTTTTCAAAAAAGGCAGATACCAATATTAAAAAAATGACAAAAAAATAATTTCATATTTTTTTTACTAGGTACTGTAATATTAGGATTTTAAAAATTAAAACCTTTTTATGGCTCGCTATTAAAGTTTTACGTAATAAGATTTATTTTTATCGGTCAGTCCTGTTAGTCAACGTAATAACAGGCAGGTCTTCAATTACATAATTTCTATTACAAGATAATACCTAAGTTAAATCAAAGGTGAAAAAATCTATTGATATAAAAATAAACAAACCCAAAACTGTCTGATTCGTAACGATAAAATATTTAAGAACATAATCTACCCTTAAATTTTATGACTGTTTTTAAATAGGAGATTGTATAATATTATAATTATTGTATAGTAAAATTTAATAATGCACACATAATTCATCATTACCAAGAAAATTCATGACAAAGTCACAAAATTTAATTTTCCAATAGTTACTTACCTAATCAGCTCTCATGCATAATTCATATTAATTTTAAACAATATAATTAATTATAATTCTGTTTATCTATGAAATGATATAATATGATAAATATAACAAGAATGAATAATGCCCGATTTCACCAACAACCCATAAACTACCACCTACGTGTGGGATCCCTAGCTTAAAAGTCTTACATACATACATATATTCAAGATCTAATACTTCGCAACCAAACCAAACCTAAAGTAGAATTCTTTTTAAGTGCCTCAAACCCTACACATGAACATAACGTAAACCAACCTCTATCCATCTCTATCCGAAGGGAAACAATTTGCCGCCGCACATCTACAAAGAGCCATAGCACGGTGGCTGCTGAAACCATGCACACACAAAAGGCTAGGGCGGCGGCGAGGCGGACAAAAGGGCGGGAGCGGCGTCTCCGGGACGTCCGCCGCCCCCACGGCTCACCCTCGTCACTCGAAGCAGACAACAGCCGGCCCCCCCGCGAACCACCGCCCCCCACCAGGGCATCCAATTCCCGTCTCTTCCTCATCTTCTTGCCCACCCGCAGCGGTACCGCTGCGTGTACCGCGCTCTCCATACTTCGCTATATCGCTACCGTACACGCATTCGCACTTGACACTTTAACAGAGCGACCGCGCCGCTCGACGCTTACTTAACGAATGACATTCAATTTTATTATTGTAAAAAATAAACATAAAATTACACGCGCCTTCAAGAAACAATAATAATTGAAGTTGCACAATTACAAGAAATAACAAGATTTTAATGTAAGGGTTCTTAAAACCTGGTTTATTAAGCAAATAGAAAAGCATCCTGTGTTTACCTTTACTCAACAGCTTAGAGCTTACATATTATAACTAATAACGTGTATGTTTTATATTTAACTAGCATTGCCCGCGGCTCCGCCCGCGCGTTCTGATGACCAAAAACCAAATTCTTAGGTTTTACATATTAGTATACTCTTACATTGCAGTTTTTGTATTTGTTCTCAGAAATGAGACATTTTCCCGCGGTAAAAAGTGTCCTATATGTTGACCCGGATAACCAACCATCACCATATCATATTTCATCAAAATCCCTCCAGTGGTTTTTCCGTGATGCGGTAACAGACAGACAGACAGACAGACAAAAAGTCTAAAAACTATAGATTCGGCCTCTGTATCGATAATAATATTTATTTCAATAACATTTTCCAAAAAATATTTAATGTACAGATTCGGCTTAGTTACAATTTTATTATATGTATATATTAAGAAATTCTTTCTGAAAATGTCACCAATACCGAGAGTGTGGTATGGCATATAAATATTCGGATATAATTTTAAAAGTATGCCAATTAATATTTTAGGTCAAGGTTTTCATAAAAATGCAGAATAGAATTCGAAATTCGTTAGAGTCATTTGTTACTCGATGTTTATCCATACTAATATTGTAAATGCGAAAGTGTTTGTTTGTTTGTTTGTCCTTCTTTCACGTCCAAACAGAGTGACGGATTGGCATGATTTTTTGTGTGGAGATAGTTAAAGGACTGGAGAGTGATATAGGCTACTTTTTGCCACGGGATATTATCTCATCCCCACGGGAAAACACGTTATAAGGTCACCCAAAAAAATATTTATGGTCAAAATCACTTGAAGCTTAGTATTAATGCTCTTCAATAAAATTAAATATATACATGTTTTAGCATTTTTTAAAGTTCATCCCATAAGGGGTAAAATTGGGGATGAAAGTTTGTATGAAACCTACCTTTTTAGTTTTTTGTAGTTTAGCGCGAGCAAAGCCGCGGGTTCTGCTAGTATTTCATAAAAGTCATTTATTTACAAAGGAATTTTAATAAGATTCTACGTCACCAATAAATTATTATTAGAACGACATTACAGATATACTCCAATCGGAATCCGGTTTGGGAATAAAATATTGAAAACCTGAAGTTTTATGATTTTAAAATGTTAGCAGGTATATAAGGAATAGAAATTCGTAAAATGCCCTCGATGCCCAGCTACCCCCGAAAAATGGGGGTAGGGGGGGGGGGGGTTGCAAAGTGTTGAAAAATAGTTTTTTTTTTCAATTTCCAGCTTATCTGAAAACTTAACGATTTTTTTATAAATGTAAACGTTCACTTGAAGTTGGGGGTGATTTTTAGCCTCTCGACACCATAAACATACTTTTCTCGGAAATGGCTAAACATTTCAATTTCAATTTTTTTTATATGTATTTCGAAGATCTTAGTTTCATGAAAATCAGAAGATTATTCTAGAAATTAAAAATAAAAAACCAAGAAAAACTTAAACGAAATCTTTGAGGTTACTGTAGAAAGTGTTATTTATAAAAGTTGTACATTGTTACTAGACCTACAACATTTGTACAAAACATTTTTCGATAGAATGTCACAGTAAGACGAAAATTGAAAAAAAAAACGATTTTTCAACGGTTTGCGTCCCCCCATTTCTCGGGTGTAGCTGGGCAGAGGGGGCATTTCACGAATTTCTATACCTTATATACCTGCTAACATTTTAAAATCATAAATAATAAGTAATCCTGCAGTTTTTGCGTTTAATAAATGGAATTTTCTTTTTCTTTTCTTCTTCATCTATTCAATGTTATTTAAAGAAGTATCAAACCAAGAGTTATATTACTCGTATACCTATATATATTTTTTTGTGTTCTCGTTAGTATAAACTGTACAGAAAAGTCTAATTCATATTTAAAATAATAGAGTTTTAAAAAGTTACTTACGAAGCTTTATTATATCGCCAAAGGGTGACCTAAACCACATTTAAATACTAGCAACTCACTCTCGATTCATTCGGGTTCGTCTCTGGGTGATTCTTTAAATTAACATAACTTTTTTATTTATGAACCGATTGAAATAAAATAAATACTAAATGTTAAGTGAAACTTATCACAACACATACATTATTTTAGCGCGCACAAACGCACAGATGAAAATTCTAAAATTCATTATTTTGGATACTATTTGCGTTAATAAAGACCCTCAATAATAGTTTTTCTCAAATATCTTCCATGTACAGACAGAAATCAATTACAATTTTATTATATGTTTAAATTTTACATATGCTCAGAATTAGTTGATTCTCTTATAATTTAAATGGACATCGATTAAAAATTTTTTTTGAAGTTTTAACTAAGAAGTGCTAAAGTAATTGCATAACTTTTATCGCAAAAATTTGTTGCGACCTAATAGGGGATAGAAGACATAAAAATTATAATATTATTCCGAAATAACTCGCTAGATTTTACCGTTAATTGGCTTATTTATAACGTGCTTCAAAGACGGTTGATAGTAGTAGGGGAGCCCAAGAGGGGATTTTCTGTAGTTACTCGAGCGCGGCAGATTAACATAAAAGAGGTTACCTTGTACTCTATTGAGTACTTTCACCATAATATAAGTCTTCTATATAAAGGGGCGCGTCTAGGGAAGCCGATTAAAATATTAAAAATATGTTTTGATAAGGTAGAAATACTTGAAACCGTCAGATTAAGGTGTGGTAGGCTAGTCACATCCTGAAAAGTGTCCAATTCAATAATCTGCCGATTTGCACAAGCCGAAGAGGCAAAAATCGACTATAAAGTTTATGATGATTTTTGCCTCTTAGGCTTGTGCAAATCGGCAGATTATTAAATTGGACACTTTTCAGGATGTGACTAGCCTACCACACCTTAATCTGACGGTTTCAAGTATTTTTACCTTATCAAAACATTTTTTAAATATTTTAATCGGCTTCCCTAGACGCGCCCCTTTCTATAGAAGACTTATATTGTGGTGAAAGTACTCAATAGAGTGCAAGGTAACCTCTTTTATGTTAATCTGCCGCGCTCGAATAACTACAGAAAATCCCCTCTTGGGCTCCCCTACTATAGGTTAACATTCGTGATATTTTATATGAGGGTAAAAAAGGAAATTATATGAAATTTGATGTTTTATGATGAACAGGTATTTTGGTGTTTTTCACAACCAACCCACGTAAGCTCATGGTTTTTGCTGGTTAATTTAAATACCATATCAATACATATAATAAAATTGTAACTAAGCCGAATCTGTACATTTCATATTTGTTGGTAAATCTTATTGAAATAGACATTATTATCGATACAGAGGCCGAATCTATAGTTTTTAGAATTTTTGTCTGTCTGTCTGTTACCGCATCACAGAAAAACCATGTGAGGGATTTCAATGAAATTTAGTATAGTGATAGCTGGTTATCCAGGTCAACATATAGGATACTTTTTACCGCGGGAAAATATTTCATTTTTGAGAAAAAATACAAAAACTGCAATGTAAGAGTATATTAATATGTAAAACCTAAGAATTTGGTTTTTGGTAGTATAATATTAGCCAAAATAAGAGAATCACTTAATATCCAGTCTATTCCTTGTGTCAAAAGTAGTTTTATTTGTTTCATAGGCACAATTATCAATCCCATTAAATATTATAAGTGCAAAAGTTTGGATGGATGTTTGTTACTCAATCGCTCCGGAACGGCTGAACGGATCTGGATGAAATTTGGCACAAAAGTAGATTATAGTCACGCAGCACATAGGCTTTTTATCCCGGAAAAATGTACGGATCCCGTAGGATAGATTTGTTTTTGTTTTCCACTAGGGTCGAACCCGAGAAGCGAGCAAGAGCAGTTAGTGACTTATAAATTCATCGACTTCTATGGTAGTAAATGAATTTAGTCTAAGGTGAACCGCATCGCAAGTGATTTTATTTATAACAACACCTTGCCGTAAACAAATTAAGTACTTGTTCAAAGTAAGGTTATCAAGTCGACTTTGAAAATATTTTTTTGTCCGTAAAACCTTGATCTTGGATCTTTTGTACGGTTATATATTACTATTTGCATTTTCCTACGGGGAAAAGAATAATGGATATGCTAATTGCTAAATTTGGAGGCCGCGTTTAACATAAGATGCATCTTGAATACAAGTGATCATCTATACATATAATAAAATTGTAATTAAGCCAAATATGTACATTAAATATTTTTTGGAAAATCTTATTGAAATAAACATTATTATCGATACAGAGGCCGAATCTATAGTTTTTAGAAATTTCGTCTGTCTGTCTGTCTGTTACCGCATCACAGAAAAACCACTGGAGGGATTTTCATGAAATTTGGTATGTTGATAGCTGGTTATCCGGGTCGACATATAGGATACTTTTTACCGCGGGAAAATGTTTCATTTCTGAGAAAAAATACAAAAACTGCAAAGTAAGAGTATACTAATATGTATAAAAACCGACTTCAAACAAAAGCACTAAAAAATAAAAAAATAACTAATTGGTAGTTTTCATTTACTATACATACCTAATCAAATATTTTCGAAGTCGGTGTGCTTTGCTTTGTATGGGCTGGCACCGATTTCGAAAATATTTGATTAGGTATGTATTTAATAGGTAGGCTTTAATTACTTAGCCAAAGCACACCGACTTCGAAAATATTTGATTAGGTATGTATAGTAAGTAAATGAAAACTACCAATTAGTTATTTTTTACTTTTTAGTGCTTTTGTTTGAAGTCGGTTTTTATTTTTTTGTTAAAAAGTTTTTATT